GGTTTTTGACTTTTTAGAAACCCAATTACAACTTGTTTTGTTCATTTGACATGAAGCTATAAAACGAATTAACATAAATTGATGAAACAACTGATTGCAACACTGACTCAATATAAGCCGAGCGTCAAAGGACAGGAAGCCAGACGCATTCTCAACGTATTTACACGATGCCATGCTGAACAAACACGAATGACATCGTCTACATACACCTAACATTACCTTTGCTCACTCGCCCGGAATATTTAGTGGCGCTAAACAGGAATAGGCTCAACTAGGCAAATATTTGGCTCTAGTGACGACTACTTTTTCATGATAGAGGTGGACAGAAAAACATAGGTTTTACTTGATGGTAGGATATATCTAAAAAAAATGCGTTATCGACCTATTTTGGCTATTCGGAAATCCATAGATTTAAACAGAAACGCGATTAAAGCTTCACGGCTTTTTCATTTGCTGACGGTGGTTCGTGACCTGGACGGAATTTTGTGATTCCAACCACCTATTTAAATAAAACACTTTAACCGTTTAAAATGCGATATATTAGTTAAACTTATTTAAAAATGATTTTTACTTGTTTTGACGTCAGAGACATCCACCATCTTTAGTCTCCCCGTGACCACGGCTGCTGCAAAGCATCCGAAACGTCGGGCCGAAGTTAAAAAATCATTTTCAAATTAGTTTAACCAATATAGCGCGTTTTAAACTGTTAAAGTGTTTTATTTAAATGTGTACTACTCGCGTAAACTATAGATAGTATCCAAGCACCTATTCAATATCTAGATTAACAGACGAAGTTTCAAAAAGATTATTATTAAAAAAATTAAAAACATTTTGTACACAGTGGAATCAAACCCGCGACCCGTTGATTATTAACCACACATTGCGACCAACAAGCCCGACGAACGACTACGAACAAAAAAGGCTCGTATTCCCTAGCAACAGTGATGTAAAATAGCGTCTAATGGTTGCCAAACTGATCGGGTTAATATCAGAATACGGAAGCAGCATTGAAGAGCACGTTAAGCCTGTACCGGTTATCATCAATAATTTAAAGGCGGTGGTCGTTAGAACCGAATTTCTAAATATCTATTACTAGCTATGTCAGCGACGTCGTCCGCGTAGAACAGTTATTTTGGACATGCAAATTAGTTTTTGCAAACCCCGTCTCGTAAATAAATGTAAATCTTTATAAACTTAACTATTAGCCACGACGCCGATCGCGTCCTTTCCCGTCGTTCTTGCAAGTTAACCTTAGAAGCAGACTTTGTTGTTTAATAATTTAAAGAGGAATCATTTTTTAAGTATTTCAAACCCTTTGTCGTAGCGTATGTATCTGAAACCCACGGATTTGAAAAATTTCTTCCGTTTTGTTCATATTTACCGCTATATCTTCGCTTCTATTAGTCACAGGGCGATGTTTTATAGCCTATAGCCTTCCTCGATAAATGATCTAACCAACACAAATTTTTCATTTTGACCCCGTAGCTCCTGAGATTAGCGCGTTCAAACAAACTTTTCAGCTTTGTATATTAGTATTAGTTATAGATAAGATAGCAGGACTCAATTAATTGATTAGATATTATTAATATAGATTTGTTTTAATATGCTGAAATTGGGCTGCGAAATCTGCTTGTTAAATAACCATTTAACATCCAGTCTTATAATTCCTGCCTCCCGGTAGAAATATAGAAATTCCTACCAGTTCGCGAACAACGATCCAAAAACTTTCATTGTGTTTTAGTTTCAGTTTGTGAATTTTCGATTATCCAAAACCGTACGTATATTGTTTAGATTGTATGGCTGGAGTATACCATGTTAAAAAAAATTGGAGGTAACCAAGTCATCTCCAGCTTAGCGTAGGGACGTGGCGAATGAAATATATCTCTATCACCGATCGATGTATTAGCAATTCAATCCACCTTCAGATTCAGAAAAAAATATGCAATTATCAAAATTTTAAATAAAACACTAACGGTTTCATCAATGATTTTTACGATCGTAGCTGCTGCGAAGCATTCGAAACGTCGGGTCGTAGTTAAAGTAATTACAAGTAGGTTTAACTACAAATATTTTGTCTTTTAATGTGTTTCATTTAATTGTATAGACTGTTCGCGTAAACACAATACAGACAGTATTTAACTATCGAACTCTCCAATAGCCTTTAAAAATATAGTTTTTTTGACGTTTAATCTACATCGCCTTCAGTCAGTGTAGTTACCGCGATTTTTCTCTTTAATATATTTATTCAGTTGCCAAGTTGCATTTCAACCCAAAAGTTCTTAAGGTAAATTGCAGTGCAAGTCAGTTGGCGCAAATATTTGAATTGTAGAGTGGGATTGGTTTGCTTTCAGTGATTCAAAGGCGATGTTTACGTCGAAATATAAAAATCGCTACGATTGCAGGAATAATCCACGGAATTTCACTGAAATAATATTGACTTTGATCAAATTTAATTAAACGTTAAGAAAATATGTTGAACTAAACACAGAGTTAAACAATGAAAATTAAATAGGCTAATTAAATTTTATTCTCACTTTTCTCTGTTCTCCTCGTTTGTTCTCTGTCTTTTATTTGGGAACTATTGGTCATTTATATAAAACATTTTTAACGCCTTACGAGTAAATATGGTCATGGGTGTCCTCATGGTCTAATTAAGTAAAAATATTTCACGTTTCAAACCGTCAAAAGTTTGTTTAAATGTTACTCGCGTTTGCTAAAAATCATACTTAACTGTTAGTAACTTTAATAAAAAGTTTATTTATTATAAATATCTTTTTCTTACTTAACATCGAAAAGCAAAAAATATATTATATAAAGAATAAATGCGACATGTATAAATAACTATTACATATATATTTTGCTTTCTATATGCAATTAAACCGTTATGTTTTACTTCATAAGAGCTTACATCCACCAAGCTGTCCCAGTGTGGATTGGTGGGCTTTAACGACTCCCGTCATTAAATTACGGATGATAACCGAGGCTGATGGCTCGTGATTTGGACTTTCTTGGGGTAAATTCAAATATCGAACATTTCACTTAAGCTAAGATTTGAACTCGAACCGTATAACTGTTTGAACTGTAGTAGAGGCAGTTAATACATACTGTAAATGATTCCATTACCTATACTAATTTATAAAGCTAAAGAGTTTGTTTGTTTGAGCGTGCTAATATCAGAAACTACTGGTTCGAATTTAAAATAATTATTATGTTGGTTAGAACATTTATCGAGGAGGGCTATAAAACATTGTGCTGCTACTAATCGAAGCGAAGAAACAGCGACAAGTATGGAAGAAATGGGGAATATTATTCATCCTTATGGTGTCCGTTGCGAATGCGGTTCAAGATATCCAAAAAGTGCATTTAAGAATGATTCATTCCTCTTTAAATGATCTTAAAAAAATGCCCTCAATAGTAAATGTCTATCTAAATACTGTCTATAGTTTACGCGAGTAGTATACATTTAAATAAAACACTTTAACGGTTTAAAACGCGATTTATTAGTTACTTATTTGAAAATGACTTTTAACTTTGGCCCGACGTTTCGGATGCTTTGCAGCAGCCGTGGTCACGGGGAGACAAGAACGAAGTTAAAAAGCATTTTCAAATAAATTTAACTAATACATATATCGCGTTTTAAACCGTTAAAGTGTTTTATTTAAAAATGTCTATCTTCTAAGAATATCTTGCAGGAACGGAACGCTGACGACGTAGTTGGGTAACAGTTTAAATTTATAGAATTAAACAGGTGGTTTACAAAAACAAATTTGATGCCCAGAATAACTATTCCACGTGGACTAAGTCGTTGATACAACTACTGTCTAATATAGATATTTAGCAATACTTGTAATAATATTGAATTTGTATAACAAGACAGACATTTTCTAGATCGATGCATTGTAAATCATCTATCGATGGGTGAAATTCGTTAATGGCGCGTTCGCTCTTTAATGGATGCACAGTCGTAGTCAACTTTGTCCCCCATTTATGTGACGAAGCTACATTGACCTATATACAAGACCTTAGACTAGATAATATATAGATAAATTGTATATAGACAACTACATATAACTTCAAGGCTGTGTATAGTTGTTGTAAGACAAAATACAAAAAGTTGTTAAAATTCACTATGCTTCATAAATTTGCAATACATTACTTAGCTCTTGCTAATATTAAAATAGGTAACCTGATAAACATCGATGTACGTAAATAATTCAGAATTTGGTATTTACTACGTCAAATACATTTATTAATTAGAATGCGACTGTATTAGTTAATCGTTATACTGTATGATCCCTCAACGGCTCTCAAATCTTTGGAAATACCTTATCTGTAGTTTGATATTTCTTGGAATGCAATGAAAATAGGAAATAAGACATTTTAACGGTTTAAAACATGACATAACATAAAAAATACATTTCGCATTTATAACCTCGAAATGAACTTACCTACAGTACTAGAGAAAGTTTAACTTGAACGTATTCACTAAATAGTGTATATATTATTAACATACTTTTTTTTTGTGAAATCCCTTTTCTCCCTCGTGGGGCATGGGGCGGACACACTTTTTGTGTTCGTTTCACTCATCCGTTCTTTAACAGGCAATTAGTTGATCAGACTTATGTTGCCCTGCCCGACTGAAACAATTTTTTGTTTCCCTAGGATTCGAACCCAGGACCTCTCGCGCTGAAGGCAATGCTAGGCAATGCGTTTAACCATTTGGCTGCAGAGGTGGTCTACATAGTTTCTTAGTAGAGTATTATTAGTTTCGACTTTGTCATTAATATTCATTTAACTAAATGTCAAATAAGATACTCTTCTACTTCTTGTTTAAATATACCTAAAGCTTTGAATACCATTTAGCACGGAACTCGACACCACGGCAACTTTGCTCATATATTTAACGTTTCAATTTTATTTTTTTTCTCTTTAGTATTTTTATAGTAATCTTTAACATTGTAATTTAAATTTGTTAACTAATAAGTAACATGAATACATACCGGCTGAACCGTCTCTCGTGCCAAGCACAGAGGCGATTTGAGGACGCTCCTCATTGATGACCAGCTCAGCTCGTTCGCTGTACACCGTGTGCACGGTCGAGACGCAGGTCAAGCGCAGCTGGCCTCGCTCGAAGCTATCTGGTCTAACGAGGAATGACAGCTGGCTGATAGAAGCCACCTGAAACGGGAATTAATTTTTTAGAGACTTTATTATTTAAGTGTGTAGCTGGCGCCAGTAGAACACATTTAAATAAAACATTTTTTAACGGTTTGAAGTACAAAACCTCATGGAACCAAGGCTTCTGCAAGGCATCCGAAACGTTGAAACGTCAATAATATTGAGTTAAGTTTTTTTAATTTTGTATATATTCTTTTTGTATCTATGTTCTTATGTCCATGTTGGTGCAATAAAGAGTTGTATTATTATTATTAACACATATACTTTATGTTTTAAACCGTTAAAACCGTGTTTTAATTAAATTTTATTTATATTAGCCTTAAGAAAACATTAATATATTAGTAAATATTTATATTTATGCAGTAAATTTCGAGATTATTGTGTACATGCAGACAAATCTATACAATTTTTGTATAAAATAACGATTCTCTTTTATTTTTTTTAATCTTTTCATATTTTAAAGCCACTAAAAAACAACTGTTTGTTTATATAGTAAAGTTCAATATTTCGTATTCAATTCTTTAAGCAGGATGGAAGCAGAGTTAAAATAAACCAAAACAGATTATTAAATTTACAAAAGCAGATCACAGATCTGTGTTATTGTTATTCTAAAGTTACGATTGCGTAGTTTCGTTAACTTCAATATTTGATTTACATAAGTTTACAGTTTGCGTTTTAATGATATATTATTATTAGTAAACCGTCATAACCAAGAATATGTAACTAACAAACGTCGGACGGCCGGATAAAATACTCAAAATACACGTCTCTTCTGACGGTACAAAAAAACATTTAAAGAGTTCAAAACGAATTAACACAAAATATGAAAACAATTATTAAATCGATCTAAACGGATTACTTTTGGATTCAGAAGTATACTAAATGTCAATCTCTAAGTATTTAAAAATAACAAATTATCAATAACCATGTGTCATCTCTCAATGACAGTTTGTCAAATGTCAAGCCACTATATCGAAAATACTCAAGTCACAAGTGTAGTGACGTTTTCACATATACCTTATAGTTGGTATACAAACTATCCAGTCAAATAGATAAATATACATTTGCATGTCTGTTTAACAAAAAGAATTATAATCGATAAGATTTTAAACTATGCATCTACGTAGACGTTCTTAAGGCATTTATAATTAAACAACCCATTACATGTTTGAACTAACGCTCTGATGTACAAGTAAAGAACTAAGCTAAGCTGTTAGGTAAATTAGAAACAGTAAAAAAAACACCTACTTCATTACATGGAAGTAATACAATAACCGTTTTGGGAAGAGAACTTTTAGTAAGTTGTATTTTAGGACGTTGAGCTGATAACCCTGATACCTTGTTAGAGGATTCCCTCATACTCGTGGGTATGGGATCGGTGACGTCATCGTCTAAATCCAGTCTTGACGTTGGAAACATGACACTGTCCTGACTCGGTAGAAATTCTCCGTCCTGTAACATAAGTGATCAGTCAGTTAAAAATCTGACGGGGACACTACTTTAGATCATTTTAAGAAGAAGATTTCTTTTCTGGTTTAAACCGTTTTCGCAGCGCATGCGACGAAAGCTTTCAAAGATAAATAATTTTCTCCGATTATTCCACATTGTCTATTGTTTTTTCGCTCCTTTAGATTGAAGCCTAATGTTTATAGCCTAATGTCTTCCTGGATAAATAGTTTAAAAAAAGATTGTTTGATAATAAGTATAATTAATCACAAAATCCGAAGTGTGGGGAATCTAGAAAGTAGATAATACAAGATACGATAGACTACGGTAGCGTAATGATAGCTAACGATAGTCTTGTTTGTAAGCGCATTCATTCATCAATGTCTAAAAGCAATTAGAGAAATTGTTGAGAGAAAATCTTGAGACTCGTGGTTCATTGTTTGACGTGAATAAGTTATGCGATATTTATGGGCGCGATGTTGATCAAGATTTCATTATAAACACGTTAACTATAAGAAATACAGGAACGTCGGTTCGTGGTAAATCAAAATAACTTAAGAATCGAGGAAAATTTCCCGGTTTAAACCGTTACAAGTGTTTTATTTGAATGTTATACTATTTTTATATGATAGAAAAACATACAAATTTAGAACATTGATTAACGATTGATGTTCGAAATATCGAGTTTAGAATAGAATTAGTCAATACTCTTAATGATGATTCACTAATTCTATCTGAATAAAAGAGCAAATCTCTTGTATCATTTTGCAATAAATAGATGAACAGAATTAGATGGAACCAGCAAATGGATTAATACTAATTTAATTTGTACAAGTCTACCTACAACACACTTTTATATCTATAGCAATATTATAATGAAAAGTGTTTTTTTCTTTAAACGCACTAATATCAGAAACCACTGGTTGGAATTAAAATATTCTGCGACCCAAGAAACAGTGGGGAATGTAAAAACCGAGAATATACAACATTGAAGGTTTATGAGCAGCGAAATTGGTTCAATATATCAAATATTATATAAAAAACATTAAGAGGGGGTTTACAAAAACAAAATTTGATGCCCAAAACAACTTTTCTATGACGCCGACACAGCTACATAAATGTATAATACTTTGAATAAACGTACTTTGACGCGACTAGAAATACAATACAGTAATTTATTAAGAAAGTATGAACAAATACTGTCTATAGTTTACGCGAGTGTACACATTTAAATAAAACACTTTAACGGTTTAAAACGCGATATATTAGTTAAACTTATTTGAAATCTTTTCAAATAAGTTAATAATATATCGCGTTTTAAACCGTTAAAGTGTTTTATTTAAATAAGTATGAACAAGTTATATATCTAAGTTTTCTATACATATAGATTAAATACTGTCTAAGTTTACGCGAGTAGTACACATTTAAATAAAACACTTTAACGGTTTAAAACGCGATATATTAGTTAAACTTATTTGAAAATGATTTTTAACCTCGGCCCGCCACGTTTCCGGATGCTTTTGCAGCAGCCGTGGTCAGTCTCCCGGGACCCCGCGCCCCCCAAAACACCCCAAACCCCCGGCCCCAATTTTTTTTAAAAAATTTTCAAAAGAACTAATATATCGCGTTTTAAACCGTTAAAGTGTTTTATTTAAACATATAGATTAAATTAAAAATTTTACGTTCAGTTTGTAGAACGATAAAATTAAAAACATAGATCTTACCTGTATAGTGTCAACAAATGGACCGAATGCTTTCCATGGGCTGAATATGATATTGGTGTTTTCGTCCCCCGGAGGGGGAGTGGGTCCAACTTGCATCGGTATTGACACAGCCGGGCTGGGCAGAATCCTTTGCTGGATTATTGGCTTGCCTTGGATCTGGAACAAAATTGTTGTTTAAAATGTTGAAATTGTAATGAAAGTAATATTAATAATCTTTATGTAATCTAAACTAATATATAAAGCTGAAGAGTTTGTTTGTTTGTTTTCGCGCTAATGACAGGACGGGTTTGAATTGAAAAATTATTTTTGTGTTTCGAGAAAGGCTATAAAACATCGCGCTGTGACTAATAGAAGCAAAGGTACAGCGGTACATGTGAACATAACGGGGGAAAATTTTCATCTTTGTGGGTTTTAGATGCGTATGCTGCGAAAACGGTTCAACATACCTAAAAAAAGAAAGAATGATTCCTCTTTATATGATCTAAATCTAATCTGGAACGCTATATGTCTATCTTATAAGATTAACTTACAAAAACGACGGGAAGGGACGCGATCGACGTCGTGGCTAACAGCTTAAGTTTATAAAGATTACCGGGTTTGCAAAAATTAATTTGGATGCCCAAAACGGTTTTCGCGGACGAAGTTGGTAGAATAGCTAGTAAACTAATATAGTCCTTATCAATCAGTTTATATAGCTTTTATAGTGTTAGGTTTAATACGAGATTGAAACTGAATAATCATATGCAATGCCTGACTGCTTAAAACCCGAAAATTGCAACATAAAATTTGATGGGGTTTTAGTTATAATAAGAAAGTCGATAAGGCCTATTTGCTATATATAAGAGTGGCACTACGGGTAATTTGATAGGCCCAGATGAGACGCGGTAGTTCAATTGGCAGGATATATTAAACCCGGCTGGTTACTATTATTTCTACCTTTAGCATCACATATCTTTACAGCTTATAAAAATTAAGGTTGCCGACAATTTGAATGTACGAAGCCACGTACGAATATAGTGGATGTAAATAATAAGCGAAAATTGAAGAGAAAAATGTATGTATTTTTTTTTTGTTACACTATTGTTTATTATATATATTTCTTAATAAATGTGTGTTTATAAAAGATATCTAATGAAATGAATGTCAAACTGTATCGCTTGTGTTAGCTCGGCCTCTGAAGGTGCCAAAGAATATTAGTGTTAGGACATTGGTCCCAACGTACTAGCTGAGTGGACTCCCTTTTCAGAGGCAACTGTACTATTTAATTATAATTGTATTTAGTCGTAAAACATTATGTTTATAATTCTATAGTATGTTTGTAAAATTTGTTTTCTGAATTAATGTATTTATATTCTATTCTAAATATACATATATCCTAACAGGATGCAATTTGAAAACGTGTGATGTAACGTTTTCAATTTAATACAAAGTTTTAATCGTCCAATATTATTCTCATTAGTAATTTTATGGCAAAGCTATCATGGATGGAGACTGATGAAAATGAATTCGAAATATCGGTTTTATAGGCTCGAATCGATAAAATAACGCTGTTTTATGAAAGATTCTGAAATTGTTAAAGGTCGATTGTATCACGGTTTATTGTTCATGCCTCGAGTGGCTTTCAAAAAGGCATTTGATCACTGTAGCACGCGGTTTGTTTGCACTTTAGACGCTTCCGATATTTGCGTTTTGGAAAATTATAGTTCGCAACCAGTTGGATGGTTCAATTTCAATTTTCGGTACAGACGGACAGTGTTTTGATTAAATACTGTCTATAGTTTACGCGAGTAGTACACATTTAAATAAGTACTTTAACGGTTTTAAAACGCGATTAATGTTGAGTTTAACTAATATATCGCGTTTTAAACCGTTAAAGGTGTTTTGTCTCTCAATCGGTAGAGCATGGAAGATGGATGCCGGTTCCAGGTCTGCCTAAATGTATTTTTAATGTAACTTTTATTTATAAATATATAGGTAATACTGTCTATAGTTTCGCGAGTCGTACACATAAAGTGTTTTATTTAAATATATAGGTATTTAAAAAAAATGTTATAACAATATTTTTACTATCTACGTTCATGTAGTAAATAAAGTATGAAATATAACTAAAAACCGCCAACACATAAAAATTACAACTATATTTTATTAATCACGATGCGTAAAAGATTCAATTCATCGGTGGACCCACGTCACGAAATGACAAGATGGATTATCCTCAACCTCCCGGGCTGCGAAGATATTGTCAAATAAACTGCCACGTGCACAAAGGGACACGAATGACCACATAGGGCGCTATAAGGGACGACAGCCGAATGGTCACTGAGTTATTCAATATTAAACGTTGATGAATAGCTCGGCTTCGGCGCCCGCTGGCCTAAATCGAAATTGGAATAATTAATTTTAATTTATTCCCATTAAACTCAGCTGTTTGTCATATGTTTATTTATGGTGAAGGAGGGCAAGCGTGGCGTTGACTTATTGCGAGGTGAAACCAAGTCATATAACATCTCAACAAGATGAGCTAGCGAGCTATTTTTGGCTTTGGGAATGTAAAGAATGAAAACGAAGCGTGATTAAACTTAAAATCTTTTAAATACTGTCTATAGTTTATGCGAGTAGTACACATTTAAACAAAACACTTTAACGGTTTAAAACGCGATGTATACTCCCCGTCCCACTGCTGCAAAGCATCCGAAACGTCGGGCCAAAGTTAAAAATCATTTCCAAATAAGTTTGACTAATATATCGCGTTTTAAACCGTTAAAGGGTTTTATTTAAAATCTTTTACATAAAAAACGCAGCTTTTTCATGGACAGTCGTTTGTAACGCGAATTTCGATACCTACCACAAATTTAATATCTAGATTCCCAGACAATGTTCTATGTTTCAGAAAAAATATAAATTAATTTAAAACATGTCGGGCCCGTTGGGAATCGAACTCATGGCTATTATCCATCTATCTTTACACCAACAAGCCCATGTAATTGTATTCTTTGATACTTGCAGTCCATAAATGAGTATTACTTCAAACATTGTTATAGTTCACACGATGGTTTTAAATTTCTTTGCTATTGCTCAACCATGAGTGGCAAGAGGAACATACGGAAGATTGTTTTCGTGATTGTCGGGTCGTCGATTTTATTTCAATTTCAAATAGACTATTCCTATAAATCATTGCTTTGGTGATGATTGTGTTAGTCCATAGATAAATTTATTTAGAAATTCAAGTACTGTGTACAAAGATCAAGCCTTAAGCCGTAATATATTTAAACTTATTTACTAAGTATTTGGTAGTAGGGTAGTTTACGCGAGTTGTACACATTTAAACAAAACATTTTTAACGGTTTTCAAACGCGAATTAGATTTGTTAACTTAATTATTGAATTAACTACAGCTAGAGGGATGTCGCTAAGGTAAAGCATCTAAAACGTCGAGCCATAGTTAATATCATTTAAATAATGACTATTAATACATTTCGAGTTTTAAACCGTTATAAGTGTTTTATTTTGATACTTAATTATTATTAAAAAAATCTTGTAACAATTTCCTCGAGTTGCATTGTTATAAAATTGTCATCCTTTTGTCGTTAATAGATAATGTAAATTGGAAGAATTATAACTCCACCGTTCTGTTAGTCCATAATTGCTCTTTTAATAAAAAAAGGCAATTATGAAGAATATTTAATTATACATGTTATAGAATCAATTAGAAAAGCTAGTTGGATTATTACCAAAATTTTGTATAACTTGTCTCGCTACGTCACCTGTATTCTACGTATTCGTTGTCATATTTTTGCCTTTTTCACGCCCACCGTTGAGAAGGTTCAATCAAAATGACATCTCGTATATCAAAATCCATCAAGCCACGAATGGCAAAATAAATCAATGGAGTTCTTAAGGAAATGCCCTTTTTAAGTATTTTGATAAATTCTTTAAAAACATTATATGTTTTATATACAATAAGCCTTGTTTACGATATATGAGATCGCTAGAGACAGACTGGCCTAACTGCAAATTTATGATGTGACTGATGTATATTATAATAAAAAATGTTAATGTCTAAAATGTTAATCTACAAGAGCCAGTGACTGAAAATTATTCGCATAATTCTTACACAAATTATAGTACAAATTAATGTTTTTGTTATTAGGCAACTCTGCTTCTAGATACTGAAATTTAATGTCTATCAACTAGTATAAGATTACAACAATGATTTTAATTTCGTCCATCAGCTATGGAACGCGTTTCCAATAATTTTTAATAAACTTTTAATTTGCGGTTCGAAGTGTCACGAAAGGTCGCGACCGTTTTGGGGTGCGGAAATAGGGATGACAGCTGAATGGTCAGCTGACAGTTAGTTGAAGTTATTCAGTTAATTGATGCCGCGGTTTTAACAGCCCTATGTCAAAGCATAATGAAACGATTATGTAAGCTTTACAAAGAGCCTAATGAAATAGAGAATATAATATAAACTAGCTGTGTCAGCGACTTTGTCCGTGAAGATAAGTTATCTCAGGCATCTAAATTAGTTTGAGCAAACATTTTTATAAACTTTAAAATCCACGACGACGATCGCGTCCTAAAGTTCTTGCAAGTTTATCTTAAAGATAAAGACATATAGTATCGTTTGTAGATCATTTAAAGAAGATCATTCTTTCATACATACTTTTTGGGAATCTTGAACCGTTTTTGTAGCGTATGCATCGGAAACCTATAAAAATAAATAATTATTCCGATTTTTTTACATTTCCCGCTGTTATTACACTCCTATTAGTCACAGCGCGATGCTTTATAGCCTTCGTAGATAAATTTTCTGACCAACACAAAAATAATTTGAACCAGTAGTTTCTGAGATTAGCGCGTTCAAACAAACAAACTCTTCACCTTTATATATTAGTTTTATTATTAAAAAATCTCTATTAAAAATCGATTTTAGATTGAAAAAAATTAGGACACGGGCAGGACTTGAACCCCATATATATATTACTAGCTGTGCCCGCGACTTCGTTCGCGTGGAATAGTGACTTGGGGTAGAATTTTTAATTATTTAGGCTGTTTATTAATCTATGTAATTGCGCATTTATCTCAGCCAATCTATGTTATAAGAACTACTTTGCCGCAACACTCACCTCACATCACTCCTACTCTAACTCCCAC